ACCCCCACTGCTGAATAAGTACCTTGACACTGCATTCCCCAGAGAGTGGATGAGGGAAGGGGCGTTCCTGCTACAGGTTGCTTCTAATTTACTTTATTCTGCAAAGGATTCATGATGGGTTATGACCAAAACTCATTCAATAAGATAATATGCAATCGAAATGGAAAATCAGGATCAGAGAAAACAGACTGAAAAATGTGGACAAGGAAAAGGCTGAACATAAAGACCAGGAAAGTGCCCGTAAATGAGTGTCTGATTTGGCTGTCAAGTTTCCTGGCAGCCAAGGAAAAAAGGGATCTGGGCCAATTCCTAGGATTTCTGGTATCAGAATAGGAATGTTGTGGTAAATCTAAAAAGAAATTAATCAAATGGAAATTTCTCCTCTAAAAGACCGAGCAGTGTAATAGATGACATAATAGTAATAATAAACATCACATGGTATCGCCTTTAAGAGTGGCAGCCATACTTTTACTATCTTGTCCCTTGCCTGAAATTGTTCTATTTGATTTTACACGATTGTCATCAAGCAACTAACCTCTACTATTCCTTCTTTGTTGAAATCACAGATACTAATGCCCTTGTGAAAACCCGGGATACAAGTTAACTAGTTATCTATATACCAGGTTTTGTGCCTGGGTGCCAGGGCTGGAAAGTAGTAAGAAGATTGTTGCCCAGTCCCCAGGTCCTCTCCATGCCAGCCGTGGAGATGCCCAGACAAGGCCTGCACATAATGCAGGTGCCGGGGAAGGAAGTAGGGAGGGCTTCATGGAGGCGGAGGTAGGCCAGAGATGGAGAGCAGTAGTGAGGAGGGGGCCCAGTCTTGGGAGACAGGGTATCAGCCGCTGGTCCCTCGGGGATGGGGACCAAGGCCTGACGTGCATCAAGGACTCCATGGACTCCCATTGGGTGGTCGACCCCTGCGGGGCTGGGTAAGAGTCGGGGTGATGACCACACACCTGAGGGGCATATGGAGGATGGACCTGGAGAGGGCGGAGTTCAGAGTTCTTTCGGTGGTGGGGATCAATGGAAGGTTTTTGAGCCTTGCAGTGTATAAGTAATGATGGAATGAAGAAGAACAGCTAACACCTGGTGAGCACATGCTGTGTGTCCTTAAGGATGACAACAGTCCTTCGAGGGAGGTACAGTGATTATCATCCCCGTTTTCCAGATGAGACAGCTGAGGCACAGGGAGGCTATCACTTGCGCATGGTCACACAGCTGGGAAGTGGCCCCATGGGCATCTGAACTGAGGCTCGGATCTAGAGCTTCTACCCCCTCTGTGGTTGTGCCTATTGAATAACAGTATCAGACTGACACATAATGTGAGTGCGTGTGAGATGACCTGTAAGTACTTCACAGATCCCAGCCATTCACGAGCCCCCGAGGCAGGAACTGACAGAGCAGAGGCTCAGAAAGAACGTGAAAACAGCTTGGAGGGTGTAGCCAAGGAGTCGCAGGCCTGTGAACTTCACTCGGGACTGCTCTTCCTGCCTGACACGCTCCAAGGTTCCTTGAAGAACCCCTGCTTTGGGCAAACCTACGGCGAGAACCATCTGAGTGATTAACGCAGTCACCGCAAATAGGATCACACCCGGCTGTCACTGGGCCAGAGCCTTTGTTGTCAGAAACATGTGAGCGTTTCTAGTATTTCTCATTTCTGTTCACCCCAGGCCTTTGATTTCCATGGGGCACTGTCACAGCCGCTCTGGTTCACACTACCTTCTCTGTGCAGCGGGAGGCCTGGGGCGGGGGGCCACGCTGTGGTTCCCACTTTTCCGAGCTCGGTCTCCACCTTCGCGTGAGCATCAGCCTCTGAGGGGCGGACCCAGGGGAGGAACAAGCGGATCAGGGCAGACGCGCCACAAAGCAGCTGTGTTCTCCTTTCCCTGAAGCCCGCACTGCAGACAAGGTGATAGGAACGAGCGTGGGCCGCCCAGCCAGCTCGGTGCCTGGACCGGGGGCCCCGTCTGAAGAAGCAGCTCCCCCTTCCACAAAGAGCACAGGACTAACAGTGCAGGACCCCGGTTCGAGGCCCGGCTCTGCCACTTCCTAGCCGTGTGGCTGTGGTACTTGGAGGGAGCAGCATGAGGTCAGGCGGGCAAGCATTCACCTCCTGGGCCACTCACTCTCCAGCCAGGTGACCTGGGGGGGGGGGGGGAGGCGGGCTGTCGAGTCCTGCCTCCTCGCTCATCCTCAGTCTTCTCACTGGGAGCCCGGCAGAACATCTTGGGGTCAGGAGAGCTCCATTTTATCAGGCAGCACAGAGCAGGCTTCCTGCCTGCCCAACACCTCCCTCCCACTTCTCCTGTAACATGGAAGTGATGAGGCTGAGACCCCAGGTGGGTATGGGGACCCAACAAGACAGGGAATGGAAGCCCCCTTCCAGCTCTGGGTGGGTGCAGATAGAGGGCCGCCATTGTTGCTGGAGTGGCACTCCCTCACGGACTGGGGCCTCTGCGCTCCTCACCGAGCCAGCCAAGCCGCTTCCGTGACTCAGGTGGGTTCAGTTCACTGCAGAGCCCGAGGCAGGCGTTTTAGGAGGGGCACCTCGTCTTTTGTGCCCTGAAAAATAAACAACTCTCCATCTGAGCAGATTTCTGCTTGGGAGGTATGTGAGCTTCCTTCATCATCTATCCACAAACAGGCTGCAGTGGGACGGACGGCACCAGTGGCCTGGCCTTGGCCTCCCTCCCTTGCCTCCCGCCTTTGCTCCAACACCCATGGAGGCTCCAGCTGCAGACTTGGCCCCGCGGGAGACAGGGCCTGAGGAGCCCTGGCCCCAGCCTGCAGGATCCTCCCATTTAGAGTGCTGTGTGCTTCCACACAAGGAAGCATGGGGTGGGGGCCTGGGTGGGAGGGGACACTGAGCCGGGGACAAGAAGCCTCCTTGTCTGGAGGGTGGTGAGGAGAGCTTCCTAGAAGGGGTGATCTCTGAAATGAGATAGAAGGAGGAGGAGCAACTGCCTCTGTGCCCAGGCAAGTTACCTGCCTGAGCCTCAGTTTCAGGCTCTGTAAAAGGCGCCAATAATTCTCAGAGGGAAGGGCGAGAGGCTTAAATGGGAGGATGGATGTGATAGAACTGACAAATACCTCATACCCCTAGGTGTCTCTGAAACAGTAGCTGCTGTGCAGGCTGGGAAGCTGCGTGGTGAATTGAACTTCTTTTTCAAGGGTCTTTTCCTCGGGGGGTTGACACCTATTACTTAGTGTACGCAAGTGTCCTGGTTTCAGAAAAAGTCCAGCCGTAACTCAGCATGAAGTGAAGAAACCTTCTGTCCCTCTGTCTCCGGTGGGTAATGGGAAGACCCCCACCCGCTGGGAGTGAGGCAGAAGTCTCCAGAATTAAAATTCTCCCCAAGTGCCCCACCTCCCCCAGGCCTGTGCCTGTTCGATATGTTTCCTTTGTCCTTGGACATTGCAAAATTAAATTGTCAAGGACTTAAGGGCACTGCCCCAGAGTAATTTTCACGTCCCCTCCTCTTGTTCCACCATTGATTTGAACTGTTGAGCACCAGTAGTATGCGAGGTGATGGGGATTCTGTGCCAAACAAGGTCCTAGCCCTGATAAGGTTCATAATGCTTGCGGGGTGGGAGGGGTGGGATCAAGGTAAAATAAAATAATAACAACAGACTGCGGTAAATACCATAAAGGGGAAAAATGGGGTGTGTAACAGCGTATTTGAGGGGCTCCTTAGAGTGGTCAGGACACTGGAGGAGGTGACGATTTAAGCTGAGGTCTGAAGCCGGAACTGGCCATGGGAGGAGTAGAGATGAGGAAAGAATGTTCCAGACAGAGGGGATAGTAGCTGTAAAGATCTTGAGGGAGGGGAGAAACTTGAGAATCTGAGGAACTGAGTGAAGGCCGAAGAAGTTGGGGCCTGAGTGAGTGAGGTGGGGAGCAGCACGAGATGAGGGTAGGCAGGGGCGGTGGGCAGACTGGTAAAGGGCTGAGAGGGCCAGAGTAGAAGCAGGAGGCCTCCAGGAGCTGTTGCTGTGACCCCAGGCAGTCACCCCACCCCTCTGAGCCAGTTCCTGCACACACGTGTGTGGCCATGGGAACCAAATATGGGAATGAACAGACGTGCACTGTGGGAAGCTGAAAAATATATAAATGAGGGGGATTCCAGGTCTCACTGGAAGTGGAGGGTCCTTCGGGAAACTTCTGGGTTAGACTTCTCCAAGGTGGGAGGCAGAGTGCTGGGTACCTAGAGTTCCTACCTGAGCACCTGCTTGAGACTCTTGCCTCCTGAGACTGAAGGTGGAGGGATGGGTCACCTTCCTGGTTCTTGACTAGCCCTAAGTCTTTGGAATTTTCTGAAATTCTCTGGCTTAAAATCCCTGAGCTAGAGGAAGAGGGAAATGAGAGGGGAGACACCTGCCTTTTTTATTCCACCTCCCGCCCATCTTTCTAGCTCTGATGGGGAGGCTTACTGGAGGCACCTAAGGGCCACTGGCGGGTGGAACCTCTCTCTTGACAGTTGTGGTCCAAATTAGGGGCATCTTCCTAATCCTTGACTCCTGCTATCTGCCAACCCCCTAACTGAAGGGAGACGTGGCGCTTCCCAGGAGGAGGGGCTGCTGCGAGACCCCCTCCCGCCGGCTAGGGGCTCCCCGTGGGGGGCCTCCTCCTACCCCGGGTCGGGTCTCGGCCGTGGGGCCATGGAGGGAACCGGCAACCGCGCGCCGGTCAGGCCCCGCCCGCGAAGGTGGCGCGTTGTCCGGCCCGCCCCGGCCAGCCTGTCGCGCGGCGGGCCGCGGTGGCGGTGGGGACCAGGCGTCGCGGGACGCAGCATGCGGAGCGGGTGGCCGCCGCGCTGCGGGCGCTGGGGGTGAGGCGTCGCGTTGCATAAGCGGGATGGCGGGGGGGGGGAGGGGAGGGGGCGGAGGAAGGCGGGACCCCCCTCCCCTGCCGCAGGCCGGTCCGTGGGCCGGTCTCGGTGTCCCGGGCGGGGCGGGGCGCGCGGCGGCGCCGGGGCCGCTTCCCCATTCTCCCCATTCGCCCGAGAGCCATGGAGGCGCTGAGGGAGTCCGTGCTCCACTTGGCTTTGCAGATGTCGACCTACAAGCGGGCCACGCTGGACGAGGAGGACCTGGTGGACTCGCTGTCCGAGGGTGAAGTGTACCCAAACGGCCTGCAGGTAGGAGCCCTGGCCGGCTGCGAGCCCCCAGGCAGCCGGGCATGCGCGCTGCTCCTCCCCCGCCCCCACCCTGCCAGCCCGAGAGGGGGCCGTGCCAGGCTGGCTGGCACGGCTCAGGGCAGCTCTGGGCTCCTTGGGGGAAGATGCCTTTCCAGGGCAGAAGTGCCTCCAAGGCACTGGGCTCCCTCCACCTGGGTCCCCTCCCCAGCTCTGACTGTCCCCCAGTCCTCCTGCCACCTGCCAATGGGACTACAGCCCCTTGGCAGAGTTGAAGCACCCTGTAGAACTGAACTGGACCAGTTACCTTTCACAGGAAAGGCAGTCCCTGGGTGCTGAGGGACTTGCCCAGGGTCACACTGTCCAATAATGGCAGAGTTTAAAACTGTCCCAGTTTTAATGTGGAAAGCCCTGTGTCCCTGGAAACCTCTCAGTGCTGGGCAAACCAGGCTGGTTGGTCACCCTATCTGGTAGGCATGGCCCCCTTCTTCCACTTTCCCCCAATACCTGAATTTTCTGCAAGGAGGGACCCATCTTCTGGCCCCCTCTTTCCCTGCCCCCTTGCAGCCTACTCATGAATCCCAATTCCTCCTCTCCCCAGGGTCTGTCCCTGTGGGACTCAAACATGCCCACCACCTTCCTACTTTGTGGCAGAGCAGTGAGCATGGCTGCTTCCTGCTCTTCCCTCCCTGCAGGGCTGAGCTGGGACAGTGTTGAACAGGACCTCAGCCCTGTGGTGGGGTTTGGACCCAGGCAGGTGAGCGGGAGCGAGTCAGAAGTGTCAGGGACGCTCAGGGGGGCCCTCGATCTAGTTCCTGAGAAACCAGCCCAGGGAGAGGAGCAGGGCATCTCAGTCCAGGAGAACTTCTGCCAGGTTGACCAAGGGAGGCATTGGGGAACATGTTGGGGCCACCCAGTGAACTGACACCAAATCACAGTTCATCCAGAGAGCAAGCTTAGGGTGCTTGGAAATGCAGGTTGCCAGGCTCAGCCCTACTCAGATATACCTCTTAGAAGCTGGAATAATAACACCAGTAAAGGAAAACAGCACTGATGGAGTCCTTCCTCCAGGCTAGGTAAGTAGCCCAGGGAGATCCGAACTCAACTCCAAGTGGTCTGCCCACTGGGATATGTCACCCTTACCTATATCATCCCACTTAACTTTCAGGACCACCCCTATGAGCTGTAGGGATTACTGTTCCCACTTACAGATAAGGAAACAGGGCCTGAATGGCGATACAACTCGCCTTAGGTCTCAGAGCTAGAAATCTGGGAGGGAGATCAGCACAGTCTGTCTAGAACCTCTTCCCTGAGACCCTTCTTGAGAGGCTAAATCCAGCAGGAAATTAGATTTCTGTGGCAGGCACTTTTCCCTTCACAAATCAAAACAGAATCTAATCAGCAATCTTTTCAGTGTCATCTTGCACAGAAGGTTCTAAATATATCAGCACAAAAGCCTTTCAGAATTCACAACAAAATAATAGGCCATGTTGTCATCACCATAACATAACAGTAGCCCACATGGGGGTAGCCTTTTTCAGGTCACAAAATGTGTTCATCTGCCTCCGGGGCTGCCTGGCAGAGTGGAAGCAGCCCAGTCTCCGAAGCTGGGGTCCCCAGTGTGAATTCTGACTCTGCTGATGGTCTTGGGTGAGCGGCTTAACCACTGAAAGCACAATTCCCTCGTCTGTAAAATGGGATTTAGAGGAAGTAAATGTAATGCCTCTTATGGGGCCTGCTAGGTTATTGTTGTTTTTATGACCTGTGAGGTCAGGGCCCCATGGCTATGTTACAGATGATGAAGCTGAATCTCAGAGAGGTTGGGGACACTCCTGTGGTCACAGAGCTATCATGTGTTTTGGAGTGCAGTGTTGCTGTCCCTACACCAATCTGCCAAACTTGGTGCATTGCCTACTTTTTATACAGGCAAAGCCAAAAAGGTTGCCCCAAGGACTTGGGGCATTTCTTTGGGTACCCGATCCGGCTTCCCTTGAGCCACCATGACTTCCCCAAAGCAAGTATGAACGAGCCAATGCTTGAATCGAGAACTTGTTCACCTCAACTTACGAAGCCAAGTTTTCTACTAATTTTGTTTTTAATCATTGGAGTTTTTTCCTCCCAATATAAAGACTTTACGTGCTTATTTGTGAAAAAGAAAAAATAGTCAAGTATAAAAAAAAAAAAAGATTTAAAAAGAAATAGTAATCCCAGCACTTGGAGATAACCCCTTCTGGTTTTCCACATTTGCACGCGTATATTTATAAACATAATTGACTCACTCTAAGTACACGATGTTGTGCTATGCTTGTTTCATTTAATGCCCCTTCATGAGCATTTTTCCTGTTGTTTAAAAACTCCCCAAACATGCTGTCATTAAAAATTATAATGCCTCGGGGTGCCTGGCTGGCTCAGTCAGTAGAGCATATGACTCCTGATCTTGGAGTCGTGAGTTTGAGCACCATGTTGGGCGTAGAGGTTACCTAAATAAATACATAAATACATAAATAAACGTAAAAAAAAATAGTGCTTCACGGTACCAGTATATAAAAGTATATGTACTCAATATGCTAAGGTTGGACAATAGGCCCAGTAACTAGCATTGTAGGTGACCATCCCTTAGCCCTTTGGATAATTTCCTATGAGCTGATGCTGGAAACACAACTGCTCCTTCGAATTTAAGATTTTTAAAATGTCCCCCATCCCCTCCTCCCCAATCTCCCTCTTTGACGGGCAACTATAAAAATAAGCTACTTGATTTTTCATGATTTTGAAGCCCATTGGTTTTTTAGTATATTTTTTAAGGATTTTATTTATTTATTTGTGAGAGGGAGAGAGAGAGCACAAGCAGGGGGAGCGGCAGAGGGAGAGGAAGAAGCAGAGTCCCCGCTGAGCAAGGAGCCTGATGCGGCACTCGATCCCAGGACCCCAGGATCATGACCTGAGCCGAAGGCAGATGCTTAACTGACTGAGCCACCCAGGCGCCCTGGGGTTAATATTATTAATCGCCAGTTGTTACAGAGAGTGAAATGAGGCTGTATAAGTGAAAGCCTTGCGCATAGTGCACAGAAAATGGATTTCTTTGCTGTTGGGATTGTTACCATGACTCACCAGGCGGGAGGTCTCAGCGATGCCCTAAATATAACCACCTTGCTCTTGGGAGCCTCTGCTGGGCTCAGACCAGCTGCCTGCCCCCCACCCCACACCCCAGCACACACCATTTTGGTGGCTCAAAGGGAATCGGCTAAAGTGATACCCGCAGCCTAAGCTGGGGAGCAGGCTGCCATGACTGCTACCAAAGCCTTTGAAACTCATCCTTTTGCTTGTAAAAAATCAATTTCTTCAAGAGAAGGGAAAGCTGAGGTATTTCATTCTTACTGGTGATGTTTCTCATCCCCCGACCCCATGCCACACACAGGGCTGTCCTTCGAGGGTGATTTCAGGGACAAGCCTACTTAGTACTTTAAAAAGACCTCTGTGCTCACCAGGAGTCCCCCTGTTTGAGCCTTATTATACTCCTGGCTTTCTAGTTCTTCTAGAATCTGAGATGGTCAGACCTGGGATGGTCAGACCTCATCTAGCTTCCTCATTTTAAAGATGGGAGATTGAGGCCCAGAGGCGGCCCAGCAGCACACACAGACACACACACATGCACACACACAACACATGGGGTCTTGAAAGTTCAAGGCTGACCTTTAACCTCCCCTTTCCCATGTCATGGGCAGCTGGGTGTTCCTTCTGGGAAACAAAGAGAGCTGGAAAGTGCTTCTTCTAAATACTAGACTTGGGTTCCTGTGTGGATGGCGGGAGTCCCTCCCCCATAGCGGGCACTCGTGTAAGCTGTTACAGGTCATTGGAAGAGAGTCAGGCATGGGGGGCTGGGAGACAGGTAGGACTCAAGGAGGAGGTGGGGAGGACAAGAAGACATTATAGTTTTGCTCTGGGCTGGCCCCAGTGGCCTCAGCTGGAAATCCACTGTTATAAGACCTTTGCTGGAAGAAACTCCCCCAACCTAACCCCTTCGTGGTAGCTGGGTGCTGCCCTGGGCTGGGCTGTCATGGTCTGTCTGCTCTGAGAGGCTGCCTTGAAGCAGGCAGCCTGGTCACCCTGCCAGCCCTCGTCGGGTGCCCAGGCTTTTGGGTTGCAGGGGGTGGGCTCCCTGCCAAACCCTTGGCCAGACTGACTCCTGTTTGCCTCTCTACGCAGCCCAGGTCGCTGGGGGCCCTGGTGGTGGCTCAGCAAGAACCTCTGCCTCCCTTTCCGACCCCTTGCTTCCTCTGAACCCCAGGCTTTGCCCCGCTCCCCACCCCTTCTCCTGCTGGCTTGTCTCCTGGGCCCCAGGCAGCCGTGTCCCATGTCCCGTCCTTGCCTGCAGAACTCGTTCTTGCTGTAAGCTTAGGTGAGCCAGGCACTCACTTCTGTAACCAAATATTTATCCCTCATTAGGGCTTTGTTCCCTTGGCTGTGGAAGCTCTGGGAACCCCTAGGTTGGACAGCTCAACTGTTTCTCTCTCTCTCTCTCTCTCTCTTTCTTTGGCTTTGTCGATGTCTCTCTTCCTTTGTCTCTCTCTCCACCGCTCTCTTTTGAGGGCATCCTTTTCCTTCGGTCTCATTCTCTGTCTGCCTCACATGAAGATAAATGGGATATTAAGCCCACCCGTGAGCTGAGCGTTTACAGTAATTCTCAGCTCCATCTCCCAAGCGTCAGCTCTGCTCCTTGGCTGATGGCCACTCCCAGTTACCTCTCCTGAGACAGAGTGGGCTGCCTGCCACTAATCCTCTCACCCTCCAAGCCACTGCAGACCAGTCTCTGGTGATCAACATGCTCTCGTTTCCAAAAGGAAAGAGAAAGCACTCATGTCCTCCCCTTGCTGTGACCTCAGCTTGCTGGATGCTCTGAAGGAGGCAGGGCAGGGAGCACAGGGCTCAGAGAGAAGGGCCTCGCAGCCTGGCCCCATCCACTGCACCAGGAATTGGATGACTTCTCCTGGAAAGGCCTCTGGGGGGACTTCTCCTGCCCCAGGGGGATGCCTCTGAATTCCTTCTGCCCTCAGAGAGGAGGCTTGTCAAGAAACCAGCAGGCCCTCAGCCAGTCAGCACGAGTTGAGCAAAGAACATTACAAAGGTTAAAAACCCCATTTTCAAATTCTGTTTGCCATTTCTTCCTGGAACTGCATTTCTAATTTAATTCGGACTTAATTCTGATTCACTTTTGCATTGAACACCACTGTTTGCTTGACACTAAACAATGAGGCTCAGCTCGACTTTCTGCTCCTCGGAGGCAGCGTGGCCATGGGGCTGAGGCTGAGGGTTCTGGAGAGAGATGGGTTTTCTCACTGTCCCCCCTCCTCCCCCACTTCCTGTGTTTCTTCTGGAGCTGATGCTGGTGCCTACTCTTTAGGACGTTGTGAAGATAGAATGGCATCATCCAGCAACAAAATGGAATTAATGCGACGCCAGGCACGTAGACAGCACTCGGGCGTTAGCTACCTTTATTCCTCCTTTTCCCTTCCCTCTGTTCCTGTTCTCATCTTCTCCTTTCCCTTCCTTTTCCCTCCCTTTCACCTGACTCCCCGCACCCTGGTGGCACTCCCTCTGCAGATGCAGATGCGGACCATGAGGTGTGCCTGCTTCCCCAGGCCTGCAGGCATCCCCCTGGGGCAGGAGAAGTCCCCCCAGAGGCCTTTCCCTCGCTTCCGAGAGCCAGCACCAGGCGGAGGGGTGCCTCGTAAACTGAGGCCCGCCCCCCCCATCTCTTTGCCCGTCACCCCCCTCCCCCTGTGCTGGGCCATGAGGGCCCTCAGGAGGAGGCAGCCAGTGAGGCAGGCCAGGGCCAGGGTGGCAGGAAGAGGGAAATGTTAGTGCTCGCTTCACATCCTCTGGGACTCCTCCGAAAGGCAGTTCCCAAGGGGAACTGTGTGAGAAAATGGATGCCGAGGAAAAAGCCCTTTATAAACCTGCCAGCCCTGGGAACATGTTAGCACCGCCCTAGGCTGACTCTGCACCAGGCCCTCCCGGCCCAGAGTTTTAACTTCACGGCCGTGGCACGCTCAGAAGCTTCGTGGCTCACTTTTTTTTTTTCTTTTCCGCCTCATTTCTCACATTTTTAAAACCATTCTTCAGAAAGGGGTTTTGGGCGGTGGCAGCCTTCCTTTTACCTGACACAGCTGTTTGGGTCTCGGAGCCGCCTGGCCCTCCTCGGAAATATGACTAGGCCCCAAGCTCCTTTTGTTGGTTTTAGAACACAGTTTTTTTTTCCCACAAAAAGTTCTCGTGTTCCCCTTTCTCTGGTGCCGCAATTCCTAGTCATTTCCGGCCCAGAAATTACGCGGTGGTGACCATGAGGCTGCGTGGCGCCCTTCCCTGAGGTGACCAACCTCAGATCCCCACGTGTCAGCGTGAGGCTCCCTGAGGGCTGTGACCTGGCTCCCGGGGACAGGCACCCCCTCAGCTTTGGGGGAGGGGCACTTGCAGGTCAGAGTCTGAGTTTCCTCATCTCCCCTGGCAGCTGTGGGTCACCGCCCTGCATGCCCACACCCCAACAAGCCTTATTCCCTGCACCTTGGTCTTTCCAAAGGGGCAAATCCAATCTGTGTCATCCCAGGCCTCCAGAAGAAGTCCATGTTCTTTAAAGGGGCTAAAGGGCCCCTTTAGGATCTAGACCTTTCCCCCTCTCCCCTTTCCTTCCCCATTCACCTGGCCAGCTCCTACTTGTTCTTCAAGACCCAGCCCAGGCATCCCCATCTCCAGGAAGCCTTCCCTGACTGGACCCCACCCCACCCTCCACCCCAGTCTGTTTCTTTATCTGCCTTCCTGCTGGACTGTGAGCAGCGGAAAGCAAGGGAATCTGTCTTCCTCTCGGTATTTCCAACATGGTGGCACATGACCACAGTGTCACTGAGCCGAGCCCCACCTTCAGGGACCCCTCCTGTCCTGCGGCCCAGGCTTTTGCAGGAAGCACCTCTTGCGACGGAGGGGAGCCCCGAACTGGCCTCGGGTGTGAAGGCCTGGGCTGAGGGCTCTAAGTGCCGTTGGCCAGTATGTCCCTCCTCAGCCCCGAGGGCCCCGCCACGCCCTCTACTTCCTCTCATTGTGCCTCCCTTCCTGTTTAGCTAGACTGTTGGGCTGGGGACATTTTTCCTCCCTTTGAGGACCTGCCTGAATGGAGCTCTCTCTCCATAGCATCTCCCCTGACATCTCCCAGACGCCAGTCTCTGATCCCTTGGTGGGCTCCAGAATCAACAGGCTTGGGTTCAAATCCCAGCTCTCCCCATTTAGCTGTGTGACGAGAGGCAGGGGCCTCACCTCTGTGAACTTGTTTCCTCATCTGTAAAAGAGAACTAATAACATGGCCCTCATGGGACCGTGAGGGTGTAATGAGCAAAGGATGTCCGCACTCCTGGGAAGTAGGAGCTGTGGCTAACATCCTGGCCTGCTGGTGTGGGGGCTCTGAGAACAGCCCAGCTGGACGCTCACTGGATGCCTGCAAGTCCAAACATCCTGTTCTTTTTTGAACTCCTTACTGGAGCAACAGGGAAAAGCTGTTCTTTTTTTTCCCTTCTACCCGTATCGGGTAACACAAAATACACAAGTCCGGCTGGGTCGAGTTGCTTGAGTCTGGTGTTTAGGAGCTAATCCGAGCTGCTGAGCAGGGTGGCAGTTCCTTTCCTGGATTAGGACCGATTCTGTGGGAACCGGACCACCCCTGAGGCAGGAGGGCGGCCCTGATGGCTCCCCGGGGCCTGGGCTTGCCGCGGAGCCCCTTGCTCCTGGGGAAGGGGGGCCCTGGGCTCACGTCCTCCCCACCCCTCCTGCCCCCTTCCCTGCAGGTGAACTTCCGCAGCCCCCGGAGTGGCCAGAGGTGCTGGGCTGCGCGGACCCAGGTGGAGAAGCGGCTGGTGGTGCTGGTGGCGCTTCTGGCGGCAGGACTGGTGGCCTGCTTGGCAGCACTGGGCGTTCAATACCGGACAAGTAGGTGCCTCTGTGTTTCGTCTCGGGCTTGGCTCACTGCTGCCCTCGGCTCTGTCCACCTGGGCCAGAGGGCTTCCCTGCTCAAGCCGGGGCTGGCCTCCAGGGCCAAGGAGAGAGCGAGGTCCAGACGGCTCGGTGCTGAGGTGGACTGGGACATGGGAGCTGGACAGTGTGGGTGGTGTAGAGGTTTGGGACATGAGTCCAAACAAACCCGGGCCCAGCAGTTTATAGTCTGTGTGACCTCGGACAAGTCACTTCATCTCCCAGAGCCTCTGTCTTCTCCTCCTGTGAATGGAGAAAATGGTGCCCAATTTGGGCCTGGCCCTGAGGATTAGAGATAATGTCTATCACGTAGCTGGAGCCTCCTAGGACTTCTTGAATCTTAGCTCTGGGTGCTCTTATTGTGAGGAGGTGAGCTGATGGAACTCAGTCTGGCACCGTCCGCCATCCTTAGTTCCAACAAAATAACAATAATAGCTTCCGTTTACTTAATACTTTCCATGGACCAAATACCACACCTCTTCTTTACAAACATAATCTTGTTTCCTCCTCACAGCAACCCTATGAGTTGTGGTTACTTCTCACCCCATTTTGCATCTGAGGAAGCTGAGGCCACAAGTCTAGGTGACTTGCTCAAGGTTATGTGGCTGGTGCACGAGGGAGGGGGCAGCTGGATTGCAATGCCTTTGTCATGGTGGTGCCCCTGTGTGTTAGAACCCCCAGAAGAGCAGTCCTGCCATGGCCTAGCTGGCCTCCATGTGCCTCATCTGTACACGTTGTAATCACATCTCTGGGTCTGGCCTTGTTTAGCAGTATGATGGGGCCCGGCCAGTTCTGCTGTTGGTGTCTGAGGCTGGCTGTCTGTGTCTGGCTGGGAGTATCCAGCCAAGTACCTCATGTAGAGTTGATGCTCAGTAAGCACTTGTGGACCTGGAAAGGGCAGAGCCAAGTTAAACAACAAGGATGGGGGGTCCGGCCAATTCCAGGATCTCTCACACCCTTTTGCCCCAACATCTACCTTTCCGAAAGCAGGTGGTCCATCTGGTGGAGCAGCCTCTGGGGCCTTTGCTCAGGGTCCAACCCCACCAACTCGGTCACCTGGTCACTCATCCCATCCGAGAGATTATGACCCTTCCCATGATCCCAGGCTTCGCCGAGCCTTCCCCACTGTAAAGTCGCTGGCCTGCATGGGTGGCCATGCTAGACTCGGAGGGGGAAGGAGTTTGAGGGCCTGGAGAGAGGGCAGGACCTCCCCTTAGTCATCCTTACATCCGCCTGTGTCAGTGTTGCTCCAACAGCCAGTGTTGCTCTGAGCCTGCCCCGGGAGCTCCCAGAAACCAGAAGGGAGCCCCCAAGGGCTGGATCCTGTGCTCGTGCCCACGGCAGGGGGTGGGGAAGCACAAGGAGCAGCCTTGCTTCGGCCTCTATCATCCCGGCGCCCTCTGGGCTGCAGGAGATGTTTCCCCAGCCTGGACCGGGATGAAAGGAACTCTCCCCCCCGGGTGACCCTGGGCCGAAGATCTCATGAGCCCTGAGGCAATCCGTGTGTCTTCATTGGCTGCCTTAGCCTGGGACAGCAGTGGCCACCCCAGAAACTGACAGTAACCTCATGACTGTCAGCAGGTGCTGACATTGGCCACACCTGAGCAGACATCAGGCTAGTCAAAGCACATTCTCCGATGATTCTGAAATACCCGTCTCAAAGTATTGTCTGGGCCCCTAAATACATATTTATCTACTTTCCCACTGCACCCCCTTTCCAGAGACTTGCAGGCGCTTTACAGACAGCAGCAGTAAAACACACAGATTCTCCCAGAAAATATTCTTAAGTGTCTTACTCAGTGTTGGGGCCCAGCACCATGCAGATGAGCATCTGTGAACTAGATTTTGGCTCTTCCTGCTTCTCGACTGGTCATGCACATCCTCAAAGGAAGAAATATTTTCTGCCTCTGCAGGTGGTGACCAAGTGCTGGACAAAGCCCATTTCATTCACTCATTCATTCAGCACACACATACTGGACCGCTGCTAGGTGCCAAGTACAATGCTGGGTAAAGGAAATAGAAATGCAAGTAAGGTGCTGGCCCTACCCTCAAGCTCACGTTCCAGTCGGGGAGGGAGATGGGGAGACAGCCACGACACAGCATACTCTGCCCTCAGAGAGCACACAGCCAGGCAGCCAACTGAGGGGCCCAGCGAGGAATGAGGGTCTGGGAAAGATTCCCTGAGGAGTTGGAGCCTGGGCCGAGTTTTGAAGGTGTTGACCTCCATGTTGATGAGGGAGGCCTGGAAACAAGCAATTGATCAAATACGTGTTAAGTCCCTGCTGGGTCAGGAATAGCTGGTAAAGGATTTACAAAGCACTAAGCGGTTAAACAGCCAAGCATTGCTTAAGCACCACCTCGGTGCCTTGCCCTGTACCTAGCAGCTTGGGGGCTTAGTGACCCATCAGGCCTCTCAGGAGGCTGGTTTCTTGTTTTGTTTTTAAATCCCAGTCCCCTTATGATAACCTCAAGAATCAGTCAATCCAAATCCCTCCCTGTCTCACGCGCACACACGCTATTTCTGACAGGCCTTGTTCCCTGAAGACAACCCTCTTGCAGTCTGTCTCCAGGCATTCCCAACAGCCAAGGTTTGGTCAAGCCCAACTTCCTGCAGTTTTTGGTATAAAAACAATAGGTATTCTTTTCCCTTCCCGAATATGAAGTTCTCTCGTAATAGTGAATAGGTTTTTTAAAGCTACACAGAAATTCTCTTCCCTCCACCCTGAAGATTCTGGTACGTTTCCCCAGTTGGGCAGTGAGCCGTGCAGCTCCGCTTGAGATGGCCTCCTATGGAGATGCTTAAATGGCACCGTAGCCCTGCCAGTTCCTTTCTGTTTTCGAGCCTGCCAGCTCAGTAATTTGTGACTGTTGTACAGTCCGCTCCAGACAAGTCATCCCCTCAAAGCTACCTCGGTTTTTGTGCTGCCGTGAGGCTCCTCTAAGCCCTTCATCAGCCTGCCAGACGTTGTGTTCGTCATCCAATGTGAAAAAGCCCACAGGCCACCCCAGCCCGAGCTGGTGCCGTGTTCCCCTGCCAGAACCGTGCATCCTTTCCTGCTTTCTGAGGGTTGGCCTGGGGACGTCGGGCCCAGCCACGAAGGCGTCCGCCATCACTGTGACATCAGGCCCACTGTGCTTCCTCGCTTCTAGATGGGGAAACCGAGGCTCGGGGAGAGGAGGTCACCTGCCCGAGGCCCACAGCTGGAATCCGAAAGCTGGGATCTGAACCCAGGTCTAAGAGCCTCCAGCCCCTGCCCTGCCACACACCTCCCTGTGCAGTAGGGACGCTGAACTTGCCAGAAGGGCCACACCAGCCCCCGATGGGACCGGCAAAGTGAGGGAGAGGGAAAACAGGGGGAACCCGGCCTTGGAGTAGCTGCAGCAGGCCAGAGCTACTTCAGCCTCGGCTCTCCCACTTGGCCGTGTGGCCCGGCTCTGTTCATGCACAGAGCCTCCGTCTCCCCATCTTTAGCCTGGGCTTCACACCTGTATCTGATGTCTGCAGTGAGGCCTGAGTGAGATAACAAATGTGAGTCAAGTCCCTCTTGTTGCCTACGTCCGGCTGGGCCTGCGTTCCTAGTCACGAGGCTGGATCTCCCGCCACCTCGGGCTGGGCCCCTGTCAAGGCTGTGCAATTTGGTTCCTTTGCTGGAGCCCACTGACCAACCCCGAGACAGGAGTCCGGCCCCTCTTCTTGCCTCTGGCTTTCCAAGAGCCCTCACCGCCTCTGCCCTGTGTCCTGTGAGAACCGGCTCAGAGGAAGTGGATTCATGGGGGGTACTTGCAGTATTTGGCAGCCCTCCCCACTGCCCACCTGCACCAACTACCGGAATCCCTCCTCGGGGAGGCACCCGGCAGATGGGGCCGCCCGGGGCCCGCCTGTCATCACTGGGATAGCGCCTCTCCAGGCCCATAGGAGACAGAGTGGAGAGAGGATGGGACTCGTACCCCATTGGCCATTGAACAAGCTACTTAGCTTTTCTGTGCCTCAGTTTCCTTGTATGTAAAAATGGCTTAAGCAAAATGGTCTGTTCAGTTTGTTTCATTTTTATTTCTTTGAGAGTCAGTGAGATAACACTCCTGCCCTGTACTCAGAGGAAATGATTTTTTATAGTTTCTTCTGTTCATTATAGGCTGTCCTTTGCCCTAAGTCCTGGCACCAAATTGTCTGCATCACCCATTTGTTATGGACTAAATACAGTCAGTTTATGTTTGCAGAATGACAGACATTTCTCCTCCGGTTGTTATTTAACTTTTCTTATAAAATGTCTGTCTCTCCAGCTAAATTATTAGCTCTTGAAGGAAAGGACTATGCCTTTTATATCCCTCACCCCCCCACACACACACATACACACAATCACCACTCAGTAAAGAACCTGGAAGATACTCAGTTATTACTTTGTTGAATGAATGAATGCATGAACAAGTGAATGAATTTGTTGAGCATCAGGGAATAATAAAAAAAAAAAACGGTGAATATTTGTGGAAGGAAGGACTGATGAAGAGAAACACCTTGGTTCTGGGTACTTTTCAAGCCACAGAAAGGATTTTAGGCAGCTAAACAGAAGTCTTATTTTACAAGCCAGGAAATTGTAAATCTACTGAAATCATTTCTCGGTAGAAGTCTAGCGACCATCCAGCTCCAGATCTGTTTGGTCAGGGCTGGGGCAGGGGCATGGCACCCCAGGCCACCCATACTATATTCCCACAGCCTTCTCCCTGCCCTTCACTGGCCTCTTGTCTTTGACCCCTGCCAGGAACCCCCGCGGTGTGCCTAAGTGAGGCCTGCGTCTCAGTGACCAGCTCCATCTTGAGTTCCATGGACCCCACGGTGGACCCCTGCCAGGACTTCTTCACCTACGCCTGTGGCGGCTGGATCAAAGCCAACCCCGTGCCTGATGGCCACTCACGCTGGGGGACCTTCAGCAACCTCTGGGAACACAACCAAGCCATCATCAAGCACCTCCTTGGTAAGCACCCCGCAGGGAGCCCTGTGAATGAGCCACAGAGGAGAGCAGCCAGCTGGACCCACCTGGTCAGGTCTGGTGAAAGGAGTCGCCTGACAGAATGGGAAAACCAGAGGCTTTGGAGTAGGTGAACCCGTCAGTCATTGTGTGGCCCTGAGTAAGTTACTTGTCTCTGAGCCTCGGTCTCTATAAAAATGGGACTAATACACGGGGAAGCAAGGCACAACCTAGGGGGTGTAGTCAGTGGTGTGGTAATTGCATTGTGTGGTGACAGGCGCTCGTGGCACTTGCGGTGAGCATGGCACAGCATCTGGACTTGTGGAAGCACCGTGTGGTACCCCTGAAGCTAATATAATGTGCTGTGTCAACTATACGTCAGTTTAAAAAAGTTTTTTTTTCAACGGGACTACGACTACCCAACCTTGAGAGTTTTGAGAACTGTGAAGCACACGTGTGAAGGGTTCGCACGGTGTGTGCAGCACAGGGAGGTACTAAGCCCTGGTCACTGTGGTCCTTGCTGCTGCGGCTTCAAGCTGTGGCCTGGTTTTGCCCGGCATGGACGGTGAGCTCTGAAAGTTGTGAACCAAGGGAATCAACGCTGAGCACACTTGATCAGATTTTAGGGGTGTGAGCAGATGAAAGTTATAACAAGTTTATCGGAGGGTTGTCCCTTGCAGGCAGGAACATCCCATGGCCTCGCGGTGATTGGACTTGCACGATAAACCGTCTAAGTTAAAGTTCTTCTCTTTGCACCTTGTTAGGCCTTCGGCACTCTAGTTGACCTTGGTGTTGGTGGTTTTATCCTTAGATTAGAGCCCCATGTCTGTCTTGTTTGCAGGGTTATCCCCGGTTATTGTTTGTTGAATTAACACCTGCCCATTGGGGTCGTCCACCGCGTGAATTCACAATACCCACCACAACAAACAGAGGTCCTGACTTGAGCCCCTTGGCAGCCAGGACCTTCTCCATCCCTCTCCTGCTGCCCCGGCCCCATCCTGGGACCCTAGATGCTGGGAGAGGCTAGATCATGAAAAGCCATCAGTGGCAGAACTTGGATTCAACAAATCCTTACTAAGTTTTTAAAAAACCTGCAAGATACTCAAAAGTACGTAAAATATATGAAGATACCCCAAAGGGGACAAATCTTCTCAAAGAGACAGAAACCTTCCTACGAGACAGGAAGAGATTCCAGTTTAACAATTGCGAATTTCAGGCAACTGTGTCTTTTAGAGGACAGTAGAAATGAGCAAACCAGTTAGGCGACCTCTCCTTTCCGACCCCAGCCCCAGCCCCGGGTCCAGGAGGGGGAGGGGCATGGCTGCCGGGTAAGACCCGTCCACCATGCTCTCTATTCCCTGCAGCCTAGCCTGGGGCTAGTGTCCCTGAGGATCAGAGCTCAAGGGAGGGCTGTCCGGAACAGCAGGGGCTCTGCCTGCTTTATGCTATCTAGGCACCTTTGAAAGGGGACACAGCCTTTCATTTCAGAACTAGAAGCTTAATGGGCAAATACGTCTGGGGTAGCCAGACTGGAACTCAGGGATGTCCCTTCTCCAGCACCTGAAGACCGCCGAGGGCTTGGCATGGACCAACAACCAAAGCGGGAGGACAGTCCAAGTGGGATGACAAGGGACGCCTATGTGGCTCAGTGGGTTAAGTGTCTGCCTTCGGCTCAGGTCATGGTCTCCTGGGATCAAGCCCCGCATCGGGCTCCCTGCTCGGCGGGAAGCCTGCTCCTCCTTCTCCCACTCCCCCTGCTTGTGTTCTCTATCTCGCTGTCTCTCTCTCTGTCAAATAAATAAATAAATAAAATCTTTAAAAAATAAATTAATTAAATTAAATTTTGAAAAAAGGAATAATGACAAGTAGGATGACAAGATGGGGCAGAGCCTCTCCTTCGGTCACCAGGGACCTGGGTTCACACCCTACCTCTGCCACTTACTGTGTGATCTCAGGTCAATGACATGACCCCTCAGGACTTCTCTCATCAGTACGACGGGTTCTGGGCCTCCTCCAGGTTATGAAAATAAAATGGGAAAAATGTATTTAAGGTGCGTTGCCTAGGCCTGGCGTATTGTGCCGGCAGCTGTGCATTCGAGTGTTATAGCTGTTGCTCACCTTTGACCTTTGTGCAGCACTTTACAGTTTACAGAGCTTTTTGTAGATGTCATCCTATCTGATTCTGCAGGGCAGGAGCGAGGAAGGTACCGTTCGTCCCATTTGAGAGATGAGGACACTGGGGTCCAGAGCCGTTCTCAAGACAGGCTAGCAGGTGGCACAGCTGGGACTTGTCTGACTCCGTCCGGGCCGTGTGTCCTTTCCCCATCTCACACCACCTCCTTGAGATAGATGGGCACGTGTGGCCCCCTTCCCACCCTGCCGGCAGCGTGGCGCCTGGGGATCTGAAGGAAAGACGGGAAGAAACTGATGTTTGTTGAGTGGCTGCTACTTGCCATGCTCTGTAGCAGGCTCTTTCTATCCACTGCCGCCTTGATCCTCACAACCTGCCTGGGACTTAGGAACTATTGTTTGCATGTTATAGGTAAGGAAACAGGCTCAGAGAAGTTAAGTGACTCTGCTGAGGAGACACTACCAGTCCTGAATGGAGGGGGGCTCCAGCCCTGGGGAGCAGTTAGCACTGAGAGGGGATGGAGAAGACAGGCAGACAGGCCCTCTAACTTTCCAGTTAGGCCCAGGACTGGCCCTTGTGTGTGGTGCCTGCAGATCCTGCTGCAACAAGGACCTCGGGTCTTTGCCAGGACTGAGTCCTTCCCCCTGACCCGCCCCCTGAGCTGGCCAGCTGGCAGGGCCCAGGAGGAGTGGGCTCCAGTCCTGGCCTCTGGCCTTACATCCATCCCGTCCCTGAGAGTCAAGGTGTAGGTGGGAGCTGTGCTGAGCTGGGTGCAGAACAGCCAGAGCCGTGCATTGGAGCCCCTGCCCCTGGGAGCACAGTCTGGTGGGAGCAGGAGGCCAGACTGCAGGGTTTTGAAGTCAGGCCGCCCTGGCACGCTAGCTTCTCACTTGTGTAGCCTTGGATAAGTAACCTGGCTCCTCTCCAGCTTAGTTCCATTATCTATAAAACAGGGATAATAGTGCCATCAAATGCAAGGTTGCCATGAGTACCGGCTTGTATGTGCGAGGCCAGAGTGCTTAGCACAGAGCCTGGCACCTAGTAGGGGCTCGGCAAAGCACAGCCACCCTGCTCGGTGTACTGAGTGAGCTCCAGCCCAGCCCTCTCCCTGACAAGCTGTGTGACTGCAGACAGACCACCCAGGCTCCTCAGCGTTTCGTCTCTAAGGTGGGAATTAACTCAGAGCATTGAGGGGTTGTTCTAAGGATTAGTGAGGTGGTCGAAGAAAGCCTAATTATTGCTTATTTCTCATAGAGGCACTGATGTGGACCTAGTTATCAGAGAAGGAGGTATAGCATATCCATGACCATGCTAAGCTGTTTACTTGTATTATTTTATTGGAGCCATGGATGTATATCCCCATTGTACAGATAAGACTCACAGGAAGGAAGTGATGAGACTTAGCTGAGATTTAGCCCCAGAGCTATGGGACCTCAAACTTACACTCTTTTTCTACCGACTCCCCTGAGTCAGCTTCACCATGCAGAGGCCACAGAGCGGCCCAGAAGCACGATTCACCAACCTCCTTTCCGCAGGAGCTGCTTGATTAAGCTCTCCAGTCGAAATGGGATCTGGCTGGGGCCTGATGAACGTAGTCGGTGAGGTCAGCCCCAGGTCATACTGACCAGGAGCTTCCCCAGAAGGCGTATCGTGGAGTCCCCTCCCCGCCAGGCTCACCCTGGGAACTAGTCTGGAAATGGCCCGTCACCTGTGGGCCTTGATACCTGGGACTTTGGCACCTGGAAACCCCTGAAGGGGCAGGAGGCAGGTGAGTGGGTGACAAAAAATGCAGGAACACAGGCCAGTGCATTCCTGGGCTCAAGGCCAGGCTTGTTTCAGCTTCCCCAAAACACAGGAGTCAGCCAGCAGGCCTCGCGGGAGAGGGGGGAGGGCTGTAGCTGGTGGGGGTTGCAGTGTGCCGGGGGCTACCCACGCTGTCCAAGCTGGCCTGGGGTGGGCTTCTCTGGCAGGAGAAGGAATGTTCAGAGTGCTGGTGAGGACTGTGTGACCAGGCCAGGCAGAACAGCTGTTACCTACCACCAGCTGGCTGCAGGGCCTCGGATGAGCCACTCCTTTCTCTGAAAGGTGAATTCACAGGGGCCCCCTCAGGGGAAATCCAGGTGGATCTGTCGCCGGCGGATTGAACTCTGCCAAGTGCCACTGTGGCACATCCTTGCAGCCCACTGGCTGGGAGACGCGACCTCAGCTGCACGACCGGAGAGCTACCTCACCCAGGTTGCCGGCTTGGGCCTCGGGGGCCTTGGGGAGACAAGAGTGTGGCCTCACTTCATCAGGGCAAGGATGCAGCTGGACCTCTCATCCCTAGGCTGGGCCTCCCCTCAGGCTTTCCAGCTTGTGCTCTTAACACAGACTAACCTGCCATCTAGACTACCTGCCTCACCCCCTTCCGATCCTGCAGGACTCTTCTCAAACCTGCTTCCTCTGTGATGCCCTCTGGGGCCACCAAAGGGCTTCTCTGGGCTCGAGCTACAGTTGCATTTTATGTGTCTGTCCTGTGTACTATGTTTTCTTTCCTTTTTTCTTTTTTTTTAAAGATTTTATTTATTTATTTGACAGAGAGAGACACAGCAAGAGAGGGAACACAAGCAGAGGGAGTGTGAGAGGGAGAAGCAGGCTTCCCGCAGAGCAGGGAGCCCGACGTGGGGCTCGATCCCAGGACCCTGGGATCATGACCTGAGCTGAAGGCAGACGCTTAACAGCTGAGCCACCCAGGCGCCCCTCCTTTTTTTTTTTTTTTAAAGATTAATTTATTTGAGAGAGAGAGCACAAGCAGGGGGAGTGGCAGGCAGAAGGCGAGGGAGAAGCAGGCTGCCCGCTGAGCAGGGAGCCTGACGTGGGGCTCGATCCCAGGACC